TAGGAGGCTCCAATGACCATAGATAGGACCTATCCCATTTTTACAGTACGATGGTTGGCTGTTCACGGACTAGCGGTACCTACCGTTTCTTTTTTGGGATCAATATCAGCAATGCAGTTCATCCAACGATAAACCTAATCCGAATTATAGAGCTACGACACAATCAAACCCAAATGAACAAAATGTTGAATTGAATCGTACCAGTCTATACTGGGGTTTATTACTCATTTTTGTACTTGCTGTTTTATTTTCAAATTATTTTTTCAATTAATTGAAGAAAAGAGAATAGTATTTATATATTAGGAATTCTCTTATCCCATTCGGAAGGATATCATTTCATAATTATCTATGACTGTTTAGGTCTCTAGTATGACTGACTACTTGATCAAATGTGGAGGAAAGTGGGATAAATGGCCGATACTACTGGAAGAATTCCTCTTTGGATAATAGGTACTGTAGCTGGTATTGTTTTAATTGGTATTTTCTTTTATGGTTCATATTCCGGATTGGGATCATCCCTGTAATAATCGGATAAATTTAGTTTTCGAAATGAAAGCATAAGAACTCAACGGGGATCCACTCTTTCTTTGATGAATTCGAAGGGGTCCCGTTGAGTTCTTCATAATCAGAATATTTTTGTCAGTGAGTCAATAGATAACTTTATTGTATGTTTCAAAAAATTCCATTTCCTTTTTTTAGGATCTTCCCTGTAAGAATAGGGAACTATATACTATATTTAATACTCTATTAAACATAAAAAAGATTCTGTAGAACCAAACCTTTTTGATACTAACAGAATCTTACTAGAAATCTATTTCTAATATAGACTCATGATTAAATTCTTTTTTTGAAGTGAATTAAGAAAGTTGTATTTGCTGAATTCAATTCCCGGTCTTTTTTGTTTGTCCATTCCTTAACTACGTATCGATTTCGACATAAACAAGAAGGAATTGGACTCTAGGAAAAGACAAATTATCCATCCTAGAATCCTGTTTTCCCTTTTTCTACTTTACTTAATATTATCTACCTACCTATTTTTTTAGGTTTAGTATCGAGTCGAATTTCATTCTATTACAATATAAATTCTAATATTTCTATTCTAGGACATGAAAATGTGAAAACAGCGACATAATCAGCGACATAATCATATGGATTCGAATTAATTGTGCAGTTGAAAAAAAACCAAGAACCAAAGGTCTTTACACAGAATTTATCAACAAAAATGGAGTTCTTTTTACCAGCTTAATATGTTGATAAATTGACATTCCTAAAAATTCATTTCAGACAATTGCACCTTCTCAAATTGTTTCTTTTTAAGAACCAAAAAAATTTGTGCCAAAATAATAGATGCCAAGAAGAGCAAGAGACCTTGGACACGTAACGGATCTTGAAGCACTATTTCTGCATCCCCCTGACCAAATCCACCCACATTAGGATTACTCGTTAATGGTTGATCAAGTTTGATAGATTCACCCTCTGAAACAAGAAGTTCTGGTCCTGGCGGTATAATATCAATCACTTCACGTCCATCTGATGCATCTACTATCGTTATTTCGTATCCACCTTTTTCTTTTCGTATTATTTTGTTTACTACACCCGTTGCTGTAGCATTATAAACATTATTATTACTCTTGCTTCCGTCGGGATAAATCTGACCCCTTCCCCTGTTCCCGCCTACGTATATAGGATATTTTAAGAAGTAAACATCTCTCTTAGTAGCGGGATCTGGAGAAAGAATAGGAAAGGTAATTTCACTATATTTTTTTCCAGGAACGGGGCCTATCACAAGAATATTTTTTTTTGTGGGACGATAGCTTTGAAAAGACAAATTACCTATCTTTTCTTTAATCTCGGGCGAAAGACGATCAGGAGGGGCCAATTCAAAACCCTCTGGTAAAATAAGAACAGCTCCCACATTCAAAGCCCCCTTTTTACCATTAGCAAGAACTTGTTTCACTTGCATATCATAAGGAATTCGAACAACTGCTTCAAATACTGTATCGGGAAGTATCGCTTGTGGAACCTCAATATCTACGGGCTTATTAGCTAAATGGCAATTAGCACATACAATCCGGCCGGTAGCTTCTCGAGGATTTTCATAACCTTGTTGGGCAAAAATAGGATATGCATTTGAAATGGGTGCTCGAGTTATTATATATATCATGAGCAATACGGAAATGGATCGGGTAATCTCTTTCTTTATCCAAGAAAAAGCATTTCTAGTTTGCATGGTCCAATCATTGATCCTGAAAATTTCTACAATAAGATTAGGTAGGTTACTGGCACAGTTCCCTATCCATGATTCTGCTATTTACTCCAATTCTTTTCCTATAATATAGGAAGAATACGAGTAAAACGAAAACGAATAAGTTCAATTTTAAATGTTTAGCTTTTCTATACAAAAAACAAATTTTAGAATTGGATCAGTGGGTCGTTTTTTCATTCCTTCATTGAATGATAAATGACTACAAGCGACGGAGATACACGATTTAAATAACGGAAAATAGAATATTTAAAAATAGTATCTAAAATGACTGGAAAAATCGAAACAAGACAAGATAGAATCTGATCATTCGGAGTAAATCCAAAATCTTTATAGACAGACCCAATCATTAGTTCCCAACCCTGAGTCGAATGGAATCCTATACAAAAATCAGTTAATAAAAGAATAGAAAAAGCTTTTATTGTGTCACTTAAGTTATATAGAAATTCTTGAACCCAAGAGTTAAGAATAATGAGTTCTTGATTACCTCGAATAGAATAACCACTTAGAATAAGGAAACAGATTATATTTGTACAGAAATGGAAAATCGTATGGATACGATCTAGGTTGTTCGTCTCGATCAATTGGATGGTCTCTTTGTAGATTTCGATACGAAGGTTTTGTAAACGTGTTTCCGGGTATTCCTTTAGCATTTCATCCAAGAGGAACAGTTCCTCGAACTCTAGCAATTTCTTTAAAATACTTTTTTCTTGAATAGTATTCAAGACAATTTCGGATTCTTTCATATTCCACCAATTAGTAATCCAAGATTCCAGACTTTTCTGAAATGTAAAAGAGATGCACCAGGGCAAAAAGACTATAGATGTAAGACATAGAAGGGGAATGCATGCTTTCTTTTTTGCCATTTTTCGTCTTTAATGAACTCAGTTTCATCTCATTTTTCAACTATATATAATAATAATCTTTCTATCAAGCATAAGTTCTATTACAAGTAAATACAAGTAATAGAGCTTAGCCTAGAATATATCAATTTATAATTTTTTCATAGAAATTGAGAAGCTATTCTTTTTATTTGTAATTCGGAGGTTAGTTTCTTTTTCCTTCAATTTGAAAAAAGAATCCAAAAGAATACAGAAATCAAATAAGAAAACGAAATAAGCCATTGCCAATTTGAATGAAGAAGAAAAAAAGTGTTTCAAAAGCTATGAATTAAAAATGAAATTGTTTGGATACAGCGATTTCCATTGGTATACTCAAGAATATGGAACGATTTCCATTGGTACACTCAAGAATCTGGACAAGTCCCAAGCTTTTTGTATAACGTTGCATGGAGTCCTATCATCAACAGGAGTCAAGGGAATGGTCCCCTGTTCTCTGGTTTGCATATAAAGGACACCACTACTAGGTTCTGGGTTAGCTTGTAGTATGAGGGACTGAATATCTTCCATACGAACTCGGAGAAAAATACGACGATATGTTCCAGGAAATCCGTAACGAAAAAAACATACCATTCGATTTTTTTTATCGAAAAAATTATAGCCACTCCCCACATTCCAAAAAATTAGAAGCCACCAATGTAAACTTAGAAAGAGACCGGCAATTCCATAGAAAGTCAGCGTGACTCCTTGTGTCAAAAAAGGAATGACAAATTCGGACGAAATGAAAGAGAAAAAATCCCTCCCATAATAACTGGAAACTGAAATATATAAAACTCCTAATGAACCTAAAAGAGTGAAAGACGCCCAGAATAAATTGATAATTTTTCGGGACCCCGGTACAATGTCAAGCCATGCGTCTTGTGAACGACAACCAAGTTTTTCTGACCCCCAACTAATGAATTTTGGAACATGAACCAATAAAGCAGACATTACAATTAATACAAGGCCCACTAAAAACACATAAACGTTTATCATAAAATGGGTGCCTCAATTTCATATTTGTACCTGTTCTTTTTTCTTGATTGTTAGATTAATATTTATGTTGTTATATGAAAACCTCCTTATCTTATTAAGGCTTATATAATATTAGTACTTTTCTTTTTTTTTTATTGAAGGCAATAGTTATTCAAAAATGGAACAAAAGAACAAATCCAAACTAAAAAATTTAACCCTATTTTCAAAAATATATGAAACTTGTGGTATCTAAAAAATATTGTTTTTTTGAACATGAAGAAATAAAGAAACCATTGCAACTGCCGGAAATACTAGGCCTACTAAAGGAACAAAAAGGGATGGTAAGTTTATCATAAAATGGGGTACCTCAATTTCATATTTGTACCTGTTCTTTTTTGTTGATTGTTAGATTAATATTTGGATTCTTCTTATATTGGAATAAAGAAAGTCTATAATCACTAGAATTCATATAGACTTATACTAAGTCTATTTTTTTAATTCTACTATGTAGAGCTAAATAAATAGATATGAATATATATATATATTCTATATGGAGTATATAAAGAGAATAAACCCATAAGAAAAAAATGGAATAAGATTTATTAAGAATCAAAATCGTTAATTTTAATAATTTGAATATTAAATTAAATATAAGGAATGTCGAACGAAATAACTGGATTTATTTTGCTGTCTATTTCTACAAGAAATATGTCCATGATAATTAATCTTTATTTTTTATTCTTATCTTATTACTTTACTCTTGTGTGTTCTCATTTTCTTTTTATATCATTTTTATATAATAAGAAGATTTCTTTATGATATTCATTTTATGATATTAATGAAAAGTTAAAAATTGAAAAACATAAATAAAATGATAGTCTGCATTAGTTTTCATTTTCAATCCAAGGAAAGCAACCATGGAATTCAAATAACTCACTTAAAAAGTCCTTTAAAGAATCACGTGATACGATTGCATCCAATAAGCCTTTTTCGAAAAAAACTTCAGCCGATTGGGAACCTTCAGGCACTTCCTTATTCAACGTTTGTTCAATTACTCTTTTACCCGCAAATGCAAGGTAAGCTTTTGGTTCGGCAATAATGATATCCCCCAACATCCCAAAACTAGCTGTTACCCCACCAGTAGTAGGCGATGTAAGTATCGCTACATAGAGTAACTTTTGATTGATTTGATAATTATATAAAGCAGAAGATATTTTAGCCATTTGCATTAAGCTCAAACTTCCTTCTTGCATACGCGCTCCTCCGGACGCACATACTATAATAAGAGGTAAAAGTTGATTGGTAGCATATTCGATCAACCGAGTTATTTTCTCACCCACTACGGATCCCATACTACCCCCCAGAAACTGAAAATCCATAATACCTATTGCTACAGGAATACCATTTAGTTGACCTGTGCCTGTTTGAACCGCCTCCAGTAATCCTGTACTTTCTTGATAAAAATCAAGACGATCTATATAAGGTTCGTCTTCCGTAGAAGAGTCGTATTCGTCTTCCGTAGAAGGTTCGTCTTCCGGAGAAGATTCGTCTTCCGGAGAAGATTCGTCTTCCGGAGAAGATTCGTCTTCCGGAGAAGATTCGTCTTCCGTATAAGGTTTGTCTTCCGTCGAAGGTTCGTTAGAAGGTTTGTCTTCCGTCGAAGGTTCGTTAGAAGGTTTGTCTTCCGTCGAAGGTTCGTTAGAAGGTTTGTCTTCCGTAGAAGGTTCGTTAGAAGGTTTGTCTTCCGTAGAAGATTCGTATTCGTCTTCCGTAGAAGAGTCGTATTCGTCTTCCGTAGAAGGTTCGTCTTCCGTATAAGGTTTGTCCCATTCAATGGGATCCAGAGAAAACATGTCTTCATCCATAGGATTCCAAGTACCTGGATCAATCGAAAGTTCGATTCTATCTGAACTGCTCATTTTCAAATGATCTCCACAGTGTTCGCAAATATTCATTTTGGATTTAAAAAATTTCTATATAATTTAATCCAAAGCAACTTTCGCATTCAACCCATAAATGCTTAAATTTTTCAGTATAAGAAGTATCTTTTGGATCATCAGGATATTGTATTGGAGTAAATTTACTATTATTTGTATCATTAGAATATTCTATTGGAGTAAAATCACTATCATTTGTATCATTAGAATTTTCTATTTCATACAAATCACTATCATTTGTATCATCTAAAATGTAACTATTCAAGTCACTGATATTGGCATTGTAGTTGTCACTATCATCTAAATAACGAAGATAACTCTCAATCCAACTATGAATGTCATTATCCATATCAGTTAAAATAGATGGGTCATCAGTTAAAATAGATGAGTCATCAGTTAAAATAGATGGGTCATCAGTTAAAATATATGGGTCATCAGTTAAAATAGATGGGTCTTCATTTACACCGTTATTTTCAATAGGATAAAAACTATCTTCAATAGGATCAAAACTATCTAGGGATTTACTTAAACCACACCTATATTCTAAATCCCTATTAAACAGCAACATTGGATTGAACCACTTTAAAATACAATAGATGAATAGTCATTCGATGATCATTTTTTATCGACTTAAGTATAGAAATAGAATTGCGAGGATTAATAACTTATAATAATAATGAGCGAAGAAGTATTGAACAAATGTATCATTTATATTTGAATATCAAATCAATAAACTATTTCTAATATAAAAATGAATGAATAGAATAAAAACAAAGAAGTAAAAAGGCTCATTTGGTCTACGGTATTTATGCACCAAATTAGTTTATTTTCTTGACTTTTTCCTAATATGAGGTAGGTTGAGCACCGAATTTTGGAATAAATAGATCACTCAAATCGAAAAATCGAGGATCCCTATTTCTAGATACTAGAAACTAGATAGTATAAAGAAAATAGGGCATGTAAGACTCCGCAGCTAATATAGTCACGTTTTTCAAGTCCCACGCTGCTTTTTACTACATCGTTTCAAACGAGGTTTTACCATAACATTATTTTTAGTTTCAATCTGGTATGTAATTGATTCCATTTTGAAATCGTGCATAGTCATTGACTCAATCAATAGATAATAATATATACTTTTCACTTCTAGGTTTTAGGTTTTCTGACTATACAATTTTATTTCTAAAGTCAAGAAGTCGAAATTAAGTCAATATTCTATTTTCATGGTTTGTAAATTAAATATAAAAAAAATCAATTTCTAAAAAAAAAAAAAAAGGAATCTTTATTCGGATATACAATTTGTATTGAAATAGGTATATATCTTGAATAGATATGATCTGGGACGGAAGGATTCGAACCTCCGAATAACGGGATCAAAACCCGCTGCCTTACCGCTTGGCCACGCCCCATTTTGATTCGACATAAATAGTATTATGAGTTGTTCGTAAATTACACTTCGAAATTTATTCTATAGAATAAATTGTTGCTAGAATTTTGATATGTATCGATATCGAATTAACGAAATTTATTGATCATTCCATAGAATTCAATTAAGATATTGTTTGAACTTATTCAGTTCAAATCAAAAAAGTGGGGGTCTGATCTTAGTTGATTCATCTTTTTTTTTCGTTTTATTACTGATTTAGTAATCTTCATATCTATAAATAGGAATTCAATATTTTATATTCTATCCTTTTAGATTTTCAAATTATTCATTTTCTATTCTATATATTCTCTATTCTATCTAAATAAAATCAAAAAATTTTGATTTTATATTTCATGTTTAATATAAAAGTATAATACAAAAAATGGATAATAATAATAATAAATTATATAATAAATCATATCATATATAGAATAAATCATATCATATATAGAATAAATCATCTATATAATAATAAAAAAAATACAATCAAAATTAGAATTAAAAACAAAAGAAAAAAGACAATTCATTTTCTTAAAGAAAAACATTTTTGTTATGCTTAATATCTTTAGCTCGGTCTGTATTTGTATTCACTCTGCCCTTTATTCAAGTAGTTTTTTCTTGGGGAAATTACCAGAAGCTTACGCTTTTTTGAATCCAATTGTAGATTTTATGCCAGTAATACCCTTACTCTTTTTTCTCTTAGCTTTTGTTTGGCAAGCTGCTGTAAGTTTTCGATAAGATCTTTAATTTGAATAATGTCCGAAAAAAAAGTCAGAATTTATTAGAAAACTCAAATTTTAACATTTTTAAAAATAAGATAAGTCTTACAGTGTGAATCCGTGATTATAAATCTTGAAATTGTTGGATAGACAATAAAAATATGGATCATCTCATCATTTCCTTTTTTTCCATTCAAAAATAAAAATTATATTATTCTATTATTCGATTTGAGTCTACCACCAATACGTGGATCTTGTGGATATGAAAGAAAATTGAATTGTTGGTAATGGTAAAACAAAGGCTCAACTCTTACTACAAATCAATTTTTTTAGTTTTTTTGAAATAACTTCATTTCTTATAAACTGAGTATCAAAGGAAACATAATATGAAATACAAGAGAATCTATTCTCTTTCTCTGTCGTTTTTTTTTTTTTATTATCTTGGAGATTTTGTAATGCTTACTCTAAAACTATTTGTTTACACAATAGTGATATTCTTTGTTTCTCTTTTCATCTTCGGATTCCTATCTAATGATCCAGGACGTAATCCTGGACGTGAAGAATAAGAAAATCTTTGTTCTTTTCCGTACTTATGCTGGATTTTTAAATATTTTTCGTTTTTCTATCTATTTTACATCTTTAACTAGTAAAAAATGAAACAAACAGGGAATAAAAAAAAAAAGAAATTCCAGAAGTTCAAAAGAAAAAAATGCCAAATCATCAATAAACGGAAAGAGAGGGATTCGAAACCCTCGGTACAAAAATTCGTACAACGGATTAGCAATCCGACGCTTTAGTCCACTCAGCCATCTCTCCCCAATTCAAAAAATTGAATTATTATGCTTATGATACCTCGGATAAACAAAAAGAACAAAAAGTAGGGCTCAAAAAAGCCTTCTATATATCTTATTTGATATTGATCGTCATTTGATATATCTTATCTATCTATCTTTTTTCTATTTGATTATCATTTTATTTAATTACTATTCATAATTCTATATTAACTCATAAATATTAGTTATATTTTCTTATACCTATACTAAAGTTATATTCTATATATACGCAATATAAAATTTTTTCTTTTCTTTTTTTTTTAGTTTGTTTTTTTATCCAACCAGAGTCCAGCTAGGTACTGGCACGGCTCTTTTTTCCCATGAATCACAATGATTTATTTTTCTGTATCAGATTTGAAAGAAACTTGTAATTAAGGAAAACATTTTAATACGATCAAACAAAAATAAAAATAACTTTTTGATCGTATATCATACGAATTAATCAGTTAACGTTTAACGTATCTAAAAAAAGAAATAGAACTATGGATTCTTGCACAATGCATTTTTGTCTTATGAATTTCGTTTAGTAATTTTGTCGAGATCTATCTGTCAAAATACCTTCAACAAAATCCAAAAATGAGATTCGCCCCCTTTTCTAAATTTCATTAGGGGGCCCTTTACGAAACATGTGAACACTGTATTTATCATAAAATTCTGCACCTATTTCATAATTAGGACTGATTCCCCTTCCTGTATTGATATTGACAAAAGATCTTTTTATATACAATAATAGTATTGTAGCGGGTATAGTTTAGTGGTAAAAGTGCGATTCGTTCTATCGACCCCTTAATAGTAATAGTTAAGGGGTCCCTTCCGTGATTCATATCACGATCAAAAACTTTATTTCTTACTTAAAGGTATTTAATCCTTTATACCTCTCAAGGAGCAATTCGAGGAATAATATACATTATCATAATTTGTATACAATTTAGAATTGATTCTAAAATTATGAAACATAAGTTTTTGCAATTGGATCCAGAATCCCAATTTTTGAATATAAGTAAAGGATCCAGGGAGAAAGATATATAAAATTCGTTTCCAATCGTAACTAAATCTTCCAATTTTTTTATTATTTGTTTTGTATAGGAGAGATTGAAGCAAAATAGCTATGAAATGATTTTTTTAGTTTACTAGAAACATCAACATATTTTTTTAGCTCGACGGAAATTTTATTCTTTTCCTAAAGATTCTCTCAAATAGAAATAGAGAACGAAGTAACTAGAAAAAAAGAGATTGTTCGAATACTCCTTTTCTATAGGGATCATCTAAAAAGCAACGTTAATTGTATTCATACCGAAAGGCTGACATAGATGTTATGGATTCTTTTTTTCATGTATTCCATCTATCTCTTAAATTATTCTGTAAAGGAGCTGAATGAAACAAAAGTTTCACGTTCAGTTTTGAATTAGAGACGTTCATTCATAAACGTCGACTATAACCCTTAGCCTTCCAAGCTAACGATGCGGGTTCGATTCCCGCTACCCGCTTATATTCTATTTTTTATTTAGTAAATTTCTTCATTTAGTTTTAGTATAGAATTCTTTTTTCTTTCCCTTTTCACGAAATTTTCGTGAAAAGGGAAAGAAAAAAAGAAAAGCGTCCATTGTCTAATGGATAGGACAGAGGTCTTCTAAATCTTTGGTATAGGTTCGAATCCTATTGGACGCAAATTGATTACATATTGAATTGATTGCAATTGCATATATATTAATTGAATTCGTATATTTATAAAAATATATTGTGAATTTATTATCTTTATGATTCTTTTTTTTAAGAGACTAATGATAGAAATTTTTTAACGGTATGAAAATTTTAATCAATTTTTTTCTACTTGTTCCTGAAGTAAAAAGAGTTCCATCTGTTCCTGAATAGCTTCCTTCAAAATGGCTTCTGCTTCCCCAGTGAATGTCTTGGTAGAAGATATGATTTCGTTGAATTTAGGTTTATTCGTTTTTAAATAAGCCCGGAACTCAAGGAGAAATTTCCTTACCTGTTCAATTTCTAATGAATCAAGATAACCGTTCGTTCCAGTATAAATAGTTA